CAGAGTCATTATCCTTATCAACTGAGCTTTTATCAGTCAATAGGTGGAGCCATCTTTATTCCTAAAATGCTTATTGAATTAAAGCCTAAATCATATGGCATTACTTTGTTTCTCAGTTGTCCCTCAATATCCATTATTCCTTTATTCTTTAGCAGCGGAATTCATGACTTTTAGCTGGCCACCAGGCCACAGTGAGTAAAAACTGGATTCCTTCTCCATCAGGCATGGCCAGGAAGCTCTGGACAATGGAATGCGAGCAGAAGTGGTTTCTTTTCCATCTGCAATGTGATCATTTCTTGTTTCCTTCTCCTTCCTGCCAGCTGGAATGTGGAGGTGATGGCTAAACTCTGAGCAGCCATCTGGCCAGAAGGCAGAAGCCATACATTTGAGGATGGGAAGCCACACCACACACAGAGCCTGGGCCCTGGAGATGGAGGGGCAGCGTGCTGGCAGCTGCTTACATCTGGGCTTAGTTCGTATGACAAAGAAATAAGCTTCTTTCTAGCTTGTGGCAGCTGTTGTTGCTGAGTTTTCCATCACCTGACACCAAACCTCGCCCTAACAAATACAAGTAGTTCATTTGTTAAGGACATTATGTTGTATGTTAGAGCAGCTTCAGGACTGTGATGAAACTGAGAGGAAGGTACAGAGATCTCTCAAACATTGCCCACCCGACACCCATAGAGTTCCCCGTTGTCCATACCACATACCACACAGCACAGCCAGCGTTGTCATCATTCTTGGTAGGTGTGGCAGCAGCCTCGGGAACCCTGCCCAGGGGCTTCAGCCAATCTGAGAGGTATTTCTGTTTTGCATAGGAGGCCAGAGATGGGCAGTCTAGGGCTAGTGAGATGGCTCCTTGGGCACCAAAAGCCAGTCTCCTCTTCTCTCTCTCCTATTCTTAGTGCAGATCTTCCAGCCTCAAGATGACCTCACAGTCCAGGAAGGCTGTTACAGCTCCAGCCCTCACTTCTGTATTTGTGGGAGTAGGCAAGAAGAAGCAAAGGAAGACCAAAGGGGCTTTCTTCTGTTCTCTGTCCACCTTTTAAGGCATCATTGCCCAAGTACTACCCACTAAATTCTGCTTACTACTTGTTGGTCCAGAAATTAGTAACGTGGTCATAGGTAACTGCAGAGCAGACTAGGGGATGCAGTCTTTGGCTGGGTGCAATATTTGAATGATATCAGGGCGCTGTTATATTGGCTAAGCAACTGGACGTCCCTACCACATCTGGGCAGATACCTCCATCTCTGTACTTCGGTGTTCCTGACCTTACGTTTTAGATATGTATCTTATAAGCAGCATGTAGCTAGACTTGGCTTTAATCTGTCCTGCATAGTCTTTTTGTGTTTATTTCGCTTGCTAATATGCTTGGTTTTATTTGTATCATGCCCTTTGTATTCCTACTTTCCTCACTCTTTTATATATTTTTTTTGTTGTTTCTCCTTTTTCATCTTTGATGGACTACACTTTCTCCCCACCCTCTTTTTTTTCTACTGGTTTGGAAGCTATAGTACCTCATTCTAATTTTTATTGGTGGTCCCTAATTTTTTAACAATCATGCATAATTAAAGTCTAAAATGAATGTTTTCATTCCTCCCAAACCATCCAGGGAGCTTTTCTAATTACCCTCTTCTTCATTTACATGTTGCTCTCCTGCAGTGTTTTAGCTTCAAGTTGTTTTAAACCCACTCAGTACTAGTCACCACCAGTACTATCTCATTTTACAGCAATGCTTAAAGTTTCTCTTTGCTTACTGACTCGCCTGCTCACCACTGCTTCTTGCATCCGCTGCTTCCTTCTCAATCTCATTGTCATCCTCTTGAAACACCCTCTAGTCAGCCTGGGAGTAGTGAACTTACTTGGGCTTTGCCTGGAAATACTTCTATTTTCCCTTCATTTCTTCATGATAGATTGTTTCTGTATAATTCTAGGTGGAGAGGTAGTTACCCTCAAAACTTTGAAGATGTTATTCTGTTCAGCTTTCTTTTTTTTATTATTTTTTATTTTTTTAAAGATTTTATTTATTTATTTTTAGAGAGGAAGGGAGGGAGATAAAGAGAGAGAGAGAAACATCAATGTGCGGTTGCTGGGGGTCATGGCCTGCAACCCAGGCATGTACCCTGACTGGGAATCGAACCTGCGACACTTTGGTTCGCAGCCCGAGCTCAATCCACTGAGCTACGCCAGCCAGGGCCTGTTCTGGCTTTCGATGTTAAAACCTTCAGTCTGTCTGATTCTTGTGCCTTTTTTATTTTAGACATCTGTCTTTCCTTTGGTTTATCATAAGATAATCTCTTTATTCTTATGATCTACCATTTCACCTTGGCATGTTCAAGTACAGAATTAATATCATGTTTTATCTGTCTGGGATTTCGGTCTCCTAGATATGAGAATCTGTAGCTTGGCTCGTTTCTGGAAAACCTTGGTGGGTTTCACTTTGCATACACTGACCCCATTCTGTGCAGTCCCCTACTCTGATGGGATGCCTGTTGAGCCTTCTTGTCCTGGCCTCCATGGCTCAGCTTCTCCTTCATGTTTTGTTAACCTACCTCCCTGTGGTGCACTCTGGGTGATTTCTTCACAGCAGTGTTCCAGTTGACAGATTCTTGCTTCATTGGGCTTACTCTGCTTTTGAATCACTCAGTTTATTTCAATGCTTATACAAGGTCCATCCAGGAAAAGTCCAGCTATTGTTAATATAATGAGAACAGTTTGCATGACATCGATGTAACCTGGCAGTCAAGATGAGTGGACTGGAATGCGCATGTGTAAACCATGAGGACTTCACTGAACTAGTCAGAGGCGGTAGACGCCACTGAGTGAGCATATGTGCTGTGTGGCCGTTGCATTCCAAATGACTGAGCAAATAGAGCAACGAACCTGCATTAGATTTTGCCTTAGGCAGTCATTTGTTGCCTTCTGCTGACCGCAGGCTTCCTTCTTGTACATTGATTAATTTTAGGTGGCGAATTGTCTTCAGGGTTTTGTTTCCTCTAAAAGAATGCTGTGTGGAAAGAATGGAGAGTGGTTTGGGGTGTGTGTCTGCCATTTGCCCCAGGCATGTCGCAAGCTGGGACTGGATCCGGATTTCTTGGCCTGGCAGTGTCCACCCAGCACACGCAGGCTCCACACAGGCGCCAGGTCGCAGGGCACTTCTGCCCCACTCCCGTTTCCTTGCTACCTGTCTGTGCAGTGTCTTTTTCTTTCATTATTTTTTATCTTTGTTCTTTGAAAACAGAAGTTCAATAATGTGTGTACCTCCTGTGCACCTGGGAGAGACCCAGGAAAACTGAGTAACTCTCCAAAATGGCCAAGCCACCACCTTTTAAAAATTTTTATTTTTCAATTATAGTTGACATTTAATGTTATTTTGTGTTCACTTTGGGTGTCCAGCATAGGGGTTAGACAAGTACACACTTTACAAAGTGCCCAGCAGGCCCCATGCACAGTATTACAGTGCTGACCGTGTTCCCTGTGCCGCGCTCTACATCCCCGTGACTGTCCTGTAACCGCCAACCTGTACTTCTCAGTCCCTTCCCCTTTTCTAGTGGTGTGTAGTTTCCAGTTGTTAGTTTGGGGTTCTTAGCCGCCTCTCCTCGTGCTTCACCCTGGGGCCTCTCACTGAGGCGCAGCCCTTGGAGGGTCCTGGCTTCTGTGCAGTGGGCTCTGGACAACTCTGCTGTCCTGAACCAAGGTCTGTCTCCTGTCCCTACGTGCACGTTAGTTCAAGTGCGTTTCCCTTCAGCAGCTACAGCAACAGCGCTTGCACAGGCTTCCTCAGCACATGGGGACCCTCCTTCCTCTCTTCCTATTCAGCCACACACAAAAAATGTTGCGTTACAGCTTTTTAAAGATTTTATTTATTTATTTTTAGAGAGAGGGGAAGGGAAGGAGAGAGGGAGAGAAACATCAGTGTGTGGTTATCTCTTGAGTGCCCTCTCCTGGTTCTAGGACCTGGCCCACTACCCGGGCATGTGCCCTGACTGGGAACCGACCTGGGACTGCTCTCCTCGCAGGCCAGCACTCAGTCCACTGAGCCACCCCAGCCAGGGCCATTGCTTTACATTTTATCCAGCCTCTTAGGTGTCTGTGGCTGCACTTTGTTTCCGCTTATTCACTCCCTGTCTGAACCAGAAGCTCTAAGGGAACCACTCCGAGCCCCAGTGTCCTCCTCTGTAAAGTAACAGTGCCTCCTTCACAGGTGAGGAGTTAAAGGAGGTAAAGCAGATAAAACGCTCAGTGTGCGGCCTGGCACGTGGTAGGAACTCAATAAATAAGAGTATCGTCGTTGTTACTCTAGAAACTTTGGAATATCTAGAAAAATATAAAGAAAATACATACTAAACTAGCTATTGAAAGAAAATTATGGTTAGCACTTTAATATATTTCCAATCTTTATTCATAAGCATATCTGCACATTACTCGTAAGACAAAAGTCACTCTGTACATACAGGTTTGCATCTGCCTTTTCGCTGGGTCCCTAGTGTAGTCTGCCTGAGGCCAGCGTGCCCCTTGGGCAGGGCTCAGCCAGGGACTTCTTCCCGGCTTGTAAACTATGCCTTCTCTGTGTGGTCACGTGGGGCGGGCTCTCTGGTTTCCTCTCGAGGACAGTAATCCCGTGGTGACTCTCCTGACTGCGTCTAACCCTAATCCCCGCCCAGAATCCCCCTCTCCAGACACCAGAGACTGGGCTTCAACCTGAGGATTGGAGAGGCAAGGTTTAGTCTGGAGCAGTAAGATTTCTCTGTCCAACAGCCGTCCTCAGGGAAGCCCGTCTGCAATCTGAGCAAGAACCAGATGATCAAACTCGCACGTCCTCCCACCCAGCCCCCTCAGCAGGCAGAAAGGCCCGGGGCAGGGCAGCGGAGAGCGCCCTGCGGCCTGGGGAGCGGGGAGCGTGTATGTGGTCGGGGTGTGGGGAGCAAACGGGAGGGCTTCTGCAGGAGCCCGGCCCACGCGTCTGCTCTGCTCTTGCCCCCACACCCCTGCCCTGCAGGTCATGATGGGCCTGGAGCTTTCTCCTCCAGTCACCTTTCAGCTGCGGGCTGGCTCTGGGCCCGTGTTCCTCAGCGGCCAGGAATGTCACGGTGAGTCACGGCTCAGACCCTGCAAGGTCTGAGAGCGCAGTGCCTAGCTCAGGCCATGCACGGGCAGAATAAATACTCTGACCCTTGAGGGATTCTTAAAGGATTAGAGAAAAACCCCAAAGGCAACACCATTGCCAGTAGCCCGGACTAGAAGGCCACAGGCATGGGTCCATCACTGCAGGCCCCACCCCGCCCCTGTGGCCTGAGGGTAGGGGTGTACTTGGCTTCAGATCAAAGCGCAGTTGTGAGGAATAACAGGGATGTTCGGGAAAAGCAGTGAGCACAGCGCCCAGCGCTAGTGCACACTGACAGGGTCAGCTTCAAGGGGAGGACTCTGCTGTGGTCGTCACAGGGACCCTAGTGAGTCACTGTGCTGTTGACTATTCCACGACCCCCTTAACTGGCCCTCTTCTCCATCCAGGTGTGCCTCTCCCGTCAGGGTACCCTCATGCCCCCAAACTCTAGCAGGGGCCACTTCCCTTAGGATAAGACCTGAAGTCCTGAGCTGCTGTTTCCGGTTCCTCCCCACCTTCTCCTCCTTCCCCTGCCACACCCCCTACCCAGCCAGACCCCAGCTCACCCTTCCTGCCTCCTTCAACCACCCTCCACCCGCTGGGGCGGCCTTGAACTCTCACCACGCCCCACCTCTACTTTGTCAGGCAGGCCAGGAGGGGCTCGCCAGGTGGACAAGCGGACACTTTCACCTCCGTGCTGGGACCCCCAGGGCACCTCTCAAGCTGGCAGATGGGGTGGGAGCCAGGCTGAGACCCTGTGCTCAGAGGCCCTGCCCCTCTGCCATGCATTGCAGATGACATCTTGGAGGAAGAGGAGGAGGAGGAAGAGGAGGAGGAAGATGAGGAGGAAGATGAGGATGAGGATGACGAGGATGAGGATGACGATGTGGATATGTCCCTAGAGGAAACTCCTGCCAAACCAGGCAAGAGGCTGATTTCCCAGAGGCAGACCAGCGTTGCCAAGGTGAGGGAGGGGACCCTGCCGAGGCTCCTCAGCACCCTGGGCCAGGCCCCCAGAGCTGAGCGTGCAGGAGGCAGGAACCCTGCCAGGGTGCAGTGGGGCTGTTCAGGCCCTCGCCCTAACTGCCCTGGGGATGCTTGTGTTTGGTTCCCAGAAAAAGAAGGTGGAGAAAGAAGAGGAAGTGATGAGGTAACTCTTTCCATCTCTTAACTTGACCAAACTCTTTGGGCAAAGGTTTTGCAGAGAGTATGGTGTGCCTGGCACATGCATGTGTGTGCACACAGGGCACTCAGTGTGCTGCCATGGTAGGCTGCACAGCCTTTTTGAAAAGCATTAAACTTTTCTTATCTCCTGAGCTAACTCTACTTGTGGCAATTCCTTTCCAAGAGGTTCATCCAAATTATGGGAGAATTATATGCACTAAGAGACCCGTCACTGCATTACTCAAATGGAGGCATTCTAAATGTCTACCAGTGTAACAGGAGATTAAACTAGGTCACATGTTCTCCGTGGTTCTCACATAGGCACATGAAAAAGATGGCAACCTGGAAAGGTTTCATGGAATTAAAAATAACAGGATATTAAATCTTACTCATTTTATTTTATATGCTGTTAGAAGAAAACAAACAAAGAAAGATACTGAGAGAAAATACATCAAAACGTTAATATTATTGGGAGGGAAATGACATAGGAATTTGCCCTGTTCTCTAGTTGCTCTGTTTTGTGCAAAGTGAGTGGCATCACTTGTCTAATGAAAAGGAAACACGGGTGGCAAATGCAAGAAAGCGGAAGCCCGAGAAAAGCCATCTTGTGTCTCACACGAGAGTCAGAGTGGCCCGTGGCAGATGGGCCACAGGTGCAGAGGTGAACTCTGAGCCTCCCCTCTCTGGGCCCAGCCCCCGTCTCCCCAAAATGCCCAGGGCCCTGCTTCCCAGAGAGAGAGCTGAGCGCTTTTTCTCTCCCCCCCTCTCTCCACGCCTCATCCCTCACCCCTGCTCCAGACCCAGCCTGAAAGACAAGAGCCCTGCAAGGAAGGTGGGTCCACAGAAGGGGCTGTCCCCAGGGTGGGGGGTGGCCTCTGGGATGGATCAGGGACCTGGAGCCCTCCCTTCTCTCCATAGGCCAAAGCCACACCCAGAGCCAAAAAGCCGGCATTCAAGAAATGAGGAGCCAGGAGCGGCCTGGCCCCAGTGACCGTGGGAGGGCTGGCCAGGCCACGCCACCATGCAGAGTGGGCTTTCACGGGATACACTGTGGACCCACACCTGCTCCCTGGGGCCCTCCACCTGAGGCTGAAGGTGATGGAGGTATGGGGGGCGCAACACAAGAGCCCCCTATCGCAAGTCTCCGGATTGAGCAGCACCTGGAGGGAAGAGTCCCAACCTCAGGGACACAATAAAATTTGTTTTGCCAGTACGTTGTTTCTGCATCTGTTCCGCTACCCATACGCGTTGCCGGCTGCAGTGAGCCATTGTGTCCGGCAGAGGGCGGCCGCAGGCCAGGCCCTGCCTGCTGGCTTTATCATCTCCCTCTCCTGGTACCCTCACTGCCCCTCTTTGGAGGAAGAACCAAGTGCCCCAGCCCCTCACCCAGCGTCTACCTTCTGCCCTAAGTGAGGGAGGGAGTTAGAACTGCTGTGGGTCTTCCTGCATCTACACTCTCTCCCCACAAGGCCCTGTGTTTTAGGTGCAGAACTGAAGGGCCTCGACCCTGTGGGTCCAACATGAGGTGCATCCGTTGGAACCTTGGGGCACAGGCTAATCCTGCTTCTGATTCAGCCTCACCCAAGGACATTTTTTCATTACTTCTAGAGGGGGAGAGGGAGGGAGAGAGAGATTTGAGAGAGAAACATTGATTGGTGCACACCCCGACCAAGGATGGAACTCGCAACCCGGTGTGTGCCTGGACCGGGAATGGAACACTTGACCTTTTGGTCTTGGGACACAATCCAACCAACTGAGCCTGGGCTCAGGGAATTGTTGGGATGAGGCCAGCAGAGGGCGGGAAAGGGGTGGAGGCCCTGCCCTTTCCCAGGCCTGCAGAGCCCCTTCGGAGCTGGTTCCTCCATGGTGGCACATGGCTGGCCCCCAGCTCGGGTTAGACTTGTGGGGCCACAGCTGGGCTCCTCCTGGCCAGGCCTGAAGTGGGCTGATGGGGAGCTGGCCTTCCCTCTCCCAGGACCCCAGGTCTGGGTCCCAGAAGGACAGCCTTGGACACTACAGGTCGGCACTGGGCTTGGGTCTCCCACCCAGCTACATCTGGCATCCCTGCTGCCTGCTTTCCACCCCCCAGCCCCCCACCCCCCACCCTCACCCACAGGATGAAGTGAGCCCTGCCCACCTCCACCACAGGAGGACAAGGCCACTGACCTCGGGCTAATCAGAGAGTGCAAAGGCACACCAGCTGGGGTCTGGCCCCAGGGAGGCAGCTGGCATTCACCGCGGCTTCCTGCGCAGTGATTACAGGTGGACAAGACGAGTCCTCACCTTCAAGTCACCTACAGCCTGGTGGAAACACAGAAGCCAACACCATAATTCCAGTAACTTTCTAGGGCTTCAGAGGAAGTGAAATGGGCTCATTTTCAGGGTGTGAAGTGCTGTTTAGTAGGATCTGGGAAGGTTTCTCAGGGGAAGCAGCTACGAGAAGAGCTGGCAGGACCTTTCCGGGAGCAGGAACAGAGGGCGCAAAGGGCTTGAGGCAGAGCAAGCTTGGAGGTTTGGAGGGAGGAAGGCTGGTGTGATTGCCGTGGCAATGCTGCGCCCGGGCACCCCTCTGCACCCATGCACGGACTTGCCCTGTTACCCCCATAACCTTGCCGGGGTGGGGAGCATTTCCAGCCCTAGCTCTCAGATGTGGAGAGGGAGGCACAGAGAGGGTGAACCACTTGCCCCCAAGGTTGCACAGCTAGTGGAGAAGCCAGGATTCACTCCCAGGTAGTTGGGCCCCAGAACCCTTGTTCTTAACCACTGTGTAGAGAGTGAGGGAGAGGCAAGCAGCAGCGGGCGCTCAAAAGTCTCGTACCCTGACAGCAGGTGTTAGAACTGGGTCTGGAGTCCCTGCCTCGCTGGGGCCTAGGGGGGCAGCCCCGGAGCCCGGTCACAGCAAAGCCACACTTGGCCGGCCCCAGCAAGCGCCCGCCCTCCTCAGTGCTGGCGGCTAATTTTATTTCCCTGTGCTGGCAGCCAGCAGGGGCCAATGACAAAAACGGGGCTCTGCCTGCATTGCTGAGAGGCCCTTTGCTGTCCCCCTCCCTCAGCCCTGGCTCTCCTGCCTCTCAACAGGAAAAAGGTGGGCTGGCATCAAAGCAGGTGGTGGCAAGTGGCGAGTCCACAGGTGGGCTCCGTGAGTCTGTCTGCACCAGCTGGGCTTTCAGGGAGAGCAGGCGTCAGACAGCCCAGTTGGGGGGTATCGAACTTCTCACTAGGGGGTGGGGATTAGCCACCGTGCAGCCAGGGCTACTTCTCACTTCCCTATCACCTCCTGCCATCCTCATCCCTGGAAAGTCAGTCAAAGTTTAGGTGAACCGAGGCCAGACCACAGAAGAGGGTCTTTGACCCCTTCCCCCTTTCTTGCCGGGTATCTGACACTTCTCAGGGAGTGTCCTTCATCTCAGTGACACTGTGGCAGCTCTGACATTTCCAACAGTGGTCATTTCCTTTTTCTGCATTGGGAAGCCGAGGCTAGAGGAGTGAGGGGACTCACACAGGTCACACAGCCTGTCGCAGCCAGGCCCAGGGCACAGGACCAGAACTCTCCAGATTGCCTCCCCCCGTGGGGCCACCGCTGGCCTGTCCAGGGGATGAGGGAGCAAGCCCCATCTGAGGCCAAGCCTGCAGGTGCAGAATGGGAAGGGACAAGGAGCAGAAGATGTCACACCATGAAACAAGCCGTGCACCAGAGCCCCCTGGCACCAGTCCCCTGGCTGCACCCCAAGGCCAGGCTTGACCGCTAGCATCTGTTACCATGGGGACCCAGCCTGGGCTAGAGGCTGGCCAGTGATGCGGGCCCTTCTCCCACCAACAGAACTCAGGCCCAGAGGCCTTGGTCCCAGGCGGAATGTCCCACCCTTGCCTCACCTTAGGACACCTCTGTCCCCACCCTCCACATCCCCACCCAAGGTCCAAGCCTGGGCTATCTCCTCCCTGCACCTCTGCTCTCACCTGTGACCGCAAGATGAAGGTCAGGAGAAGGTAGCCTCCATTGACCTACCTGGGGGCTAGAGGCTGGCGGGGTGTGGGCCCCAGGTCACAGAGCAGAACCAGCACCAAGCACAGCAAGGAAGTATGTGGGCGGGGGGTGTCTACGGAGGAGGCAGAGTCTCAGTGGGGCCCCGGTGAGGCAAGGACCGTGGGAAAGCGAGATCCTGGTGGGGGGCGCCCCGGTCAAAGCATCAGGGCCAGTGGGTGGGCACGGTGTGTTCTGAGAGGGGCCAGCCCTGGCCTCAAGTCCAGGCATCGGTACCTTGTCCCAGCCATGTCACCAAGCAGCTATGAGACCCTCATTCTTGAAGCTGAGACCCTCCTAGTGCTGATGTTTTTCCATTCAATTCCCACCCTGGACTCCCCCAGCTATGCAGGGCTGGGGCCAACACCGCCCTTCCCAGGCCAGCTCGGGCTCCTGAGCCCCCCTCCCCCCCCCCACCGTGGATGGCCTGGGGAGCCCAGGGGCTGGGAGCCAGGTGCACAGGCCAGCTCCAGGGCCAGCCGCAGCAGAGGGGGCAGAGGTGTCTGGGGTGGGGACATGGCAGACAACTTTGTGGATTCACCCGGCTCAGGAAGGTGAGAAGCAGGCCTGGGGTGAGAGCTGGGCCCTCCCCCTTATCTCTGCAGGTAAATCAATCCACAGTCAGCATTTCCCCTTCCCTTCCTGGGGACACGGAGACACACACACCCCGCCCCCGCCCCCACCCCCAGAGCTGAGCTGAGGGGTGAGCTTCCCAAGTGAAGGTGGGCTTTCCCTTAGAGGTCTCCCAGGACCAGCTCCCCCCAGAGCCCACCACCACCCACCTTCTGGAGGGATGGAGACCTTGACTGTGGCTACCTGCCGTGCTGGACCCTAAGGGTGTGGGCACAGCAGAAAGACCCCAGACACAACCCGAGAGGAACGGGAAGAGCTGGAACTTTGAAGACCTGGTCCTGCACTCATTCGCTAGTGGGGCTGATTTGAGCTAACTGTCCGCTGGTGCGCCTGGGTTTCCTCGCCTGCGGCAGGCGTGGGTCACCACTGGCCTGGGACAGAGCCTTGCGGAACCAGAGCTCACATGAACAGGCTGATGGGCCCTTCCTCCCCGGCAGCTGTGAGGGGACCTGGGGACGTGGGGAGGGGTCCTCGAGGCTCCAGGGCAGCGAGTGAGGCCTTAGAAGGCAGCCCTCCGGCCGGCCGCCCACTAAGGACAGCCAGCTGTCTCTGGGTCCTCCGGCATCCTGGGCACTCCTGCCCATCTCTCGGAGGAAGCTGCTGAGGCCCCGCCTCAGGCCGGCTTTTGGGACTCCACGGGGGTCCTCCACGGCCCCAGCCGCCCCTTCCTCCTCACCCCGGGCCCCCAAGCCGTGGCGCCCGCTATTCGCTGCCAATTGGGACAGTCATAACCCCTCCTCCCCAGTGGCCGGAGTGCAGACCAGGGACTCTGGGGGCACAGAGCGGTGGAAGTGCTGTCCGGCCAAGCCCACCTCCTGCCCCCTGCAGGGAGGCTCCTCCTTTTAAGGCTGCTTCTGGGAATTTCCGTCCCCAGCCAGCCCCAGCGACCCCAGATAGACACTTGCCGCTCACCCGCGGGAGTGGGGCACCGAACCTGAGGCCGGCCGCGAGGGGAGGAGGGGCACTGCCCCGGGCCGTGAGGGTCGGGGTAGCTGGGGACCACGGGCCAGCCTCCCATCGAGCAGGCCCCAGCAGCGCCGTCCTCTGCGCCTGGAGCCCAGGAGAGAGAGGTTGGCAGCCCCGCCAGTGGCGGCTTTGCAGTCTCTCTGGCTGAGAAGGTGGACACCTCACACCTCAGTCTCCCCATTACGCCCTCCTCCCCTCCTCCATCTCCTCCCAGCTCTTCCCTCTCCTCCTCCGCCCCTCTCTCTCCTCTCCCCCCTGAAAACCTGTGGCTGGAAGAGACCTTGGCTTCTGTGGGACTCTACCCCCAGGGACTGCCCACATCTCCTGAGTTTGGGGGCAGGGGGGCCACTGCCCCAAGAAAGCTCTCCGGCGATGGAAGCCGCCCGCCTGCTGCCCAGCTTCGCTCTGTAAGTGCGCGGCCTCTCCCGCTGCAGTTCTGCCGCCACCTCCAGCCTCGGGCAGCCCTAGTCTTAGCGGGACTCCCCCACGGACTGGTGGGTGAGGTGGGGGTGGGGGGCGGGGGCAGCGCCCGGTGTGCCCTGGCCGCTGACACCCACACCTGGCTCTGCCTCGCGTCCCCACACAGGTGTCTGCAGCTACTGGTTCTCTGCTGTCAAACTCAGGTAGGCGCCCTGCCCCACCAGCTTCTCCCCGTCCCTCCTACCCCACCCAAAGGGGCAGGGGGCAGTCTCCTTTCGCTGCACAGAGGCAGGTTCTGGCCTCTCTGATGTTCGAGGGGCTCAGCCTTTGGAGGGGGTAGGAGAAGGGGCTGTTGCAGGTTTGGGGACTGACAGGTGTTTACCTGTCCTCCCTCCCATTACCCTCCCTCCATCCCTCCACACTGGGTCACCCCAAGGCTAAGTGCACAGGCAGCACAGACTCGAGGGATCGAGGCCAGTGTGGCTGGAAGAGGGTGGAGATAATGGCTCAGGTGAGGTTTGTACCTGAAGGGACAGGTGTCCATGTAAAACCACCTGTGTGTTCCTCTCGTGACCCCCTCCCACCAACACAGATGTCCTGTGGGAGCGGGGGCGTCCTGGGGGCCAGCCAGGGCCGGGACTCCTTACCTACAGGCAATGAGGTCAAGCCCAAAGAGGTTGCTTGAGACAAGACTCGGGGTTTGCTTCTCCACGCTCCCCCCACTGGAGGCCGGCCCCCCATGCCCACCTCCCCCCGGCCCCAGCACAGCCCCAGCGCTGGGCTTGGTCCCTTTTTGTGATCCTCCATAAAAGTGCAGCTATTAAAATGCACTGGTCCAGAACCGCGCTGGGGAGAGTGCTTGGCTTTCCCAGGCCAGAGGCCGCTTCTCTTCATATCCAGTGGGGACTTTTTTTGAAGGTAAACGCCTTTTCTCTGGGAGAGGGAAAGGGGCTGCCTTTGAAGCAGTGGGGGGGTGGGAGAGAGAGAGAGAGAGAGGGAGACACCCCCCTTTTCCTTCCCCCTTTTGCTCAAGCCCCCGTTCCAGGCCTTTTGCTTCACACATCCAGGGAGGGCAAGAAGAAAGCCCCCCAGCCTGGCCGGGAGGGGCCTGGGGGTGGGCCCGACCTGCTCTGGAAGGGGAGTCAGCACAATGGTGTGGCTGGCCTGGCGGTTATGGCCTGGCTGAGGCCCCATTCAGGACTCAGGGAAGGTGGCAAAGCTGTCCTTTCCCCCTTGAAGTGCCCCCTCGCCCCCCACGGAGGGGGGGCCGGCAGGCCGGACCACAGCCATGCTTGAGGGGCCGGCTGACAAGCAGCTGTCTGTGCAGTGGAAGGGGAGGTCCCCCGCAGCGGGGACATGAAAGGGACAGGCAAGGTCCCGCGGGGAGAGCGGCTTGTGGGCTGTGGGCTGTGGGGGGGCGTGGGGCTGCTTTTGTGCAGGGCTTGAAGGGGGATGAGGAGAGGAGGGGGCTTTGGGGGGGGCCTCTCTGCTCCCGACCTGGAACAGACAGCCTGAAGGAGGCTGCCCGCCAAGAAGGGCGGAGGGCCTGAACCTGGGCCAGGCGACTGGGGCTGGGGACAGGCGGACCCCATCGAGGGTCCGGGCCAGCCAGACCCCACCCCCTGGCAGGGAGGCAGGTCCCCCATCCCAAACTTGGGCCTCAGGTTCTCCCAGGGAGGGGCGTAGTCTGGGCTGGGGTCTCCCGGGCAGCCGCCCTGGCCAGGCTCCTGGCCTGGGCTGCGCTGAAGTTGGAAATGAGTGGTGACAGGAAGGGTTAACCCAGGCAGGCTGTGCCGTGGGCCTCCAGCTGCTCCCTCACCTCCCTTCCTCCATCGGACACTTCGCACCCCTCCCTCCAGCAGAGAGTGGCCCTCACAGATGCTGATCTAGGTCTGGCTCCGTCCAGATGGCCGGGCTTAGGGACTGGGGACAGGGAAGGGCTGTCTCAGCACAGGCCACAGGGGCCAGGTGGGGAGAGGAACATGTTGGTGCGGGATCCGAGGCTGCGGCCCGCAGCTGGGAGCCGCCATCCAGGCTGCACCTGGCCGGAGAGAGGGGCCAGGCATGACCTGTCTCTGGCTCAGTGCTGCCAATAGGTGAGGGGAGACCAGCCTGGACAAGTACTTATCCTGCCTTTGTCCGCCCTGTCGTGCAGGCGCCCAGAGTCCTTCAAGCCTCCTGGAGGAGTGAGTGGGGTGGTGGCGGCGCTGGCCACCAGCCTCCGTTTTGCTGTGGCACAGGCAGGTGGCCTCGAGGGAGCAGCCCTGGGCCCAGGCCGATAGCGCCTCCCGCAGCTGCTTTCACCACCCCCCATAAGGAGGCCCCCCCACCCACATAGGAGAGAGGAGATCTGGCAGGGAGTCTGGCTTCTTGGAGGGCCCTGAGCACCCGGGGGGAGAGGCAGGGCAGCTGGGTGTAGCTTGGGATTCCTAATGCAACAAAGAAATGCTCTCCAGGGGCCGCACAGAAGCCTAGAGACAAGGCTCTCAGAGCCCCCATAATGCTCTCCAGTGACCCTAACAGATGAGCTGCTGTGTGCGCATGCATGCATGCACACATGCATGTGCACATGTGCTGAGGGTAGGGTCCTTCAAGGCTAGTGGAGAGGATGGAGAGAAAATCTGGTTGTCCTGGCAACAGAGCCAAGACCCCAGAGTTCTGGAGAGGTGACAAGCTCCAATGCCATAGACAGGACAGGGGTCCTTCCCCTAACCAGCTGTGCCACCTGCACACCTCCTCCACAGAATTTGGGGATCAGACACCACAACTCTGAAGGTTCCTTCCAGCTCCCGGAGTCATGATTCCAAGTGTGCACTCTTCCACCAAGTGTACCCAGGCTTGGGCAGCCTCCAGCTCTCTGCTGCAGACTGGAAAGGGAGCCAAGAGGTCATGACTGGCTCACCCACTGGCCTGACAAGGTCATGGCCCTCTGCCCCCTTCACCTTGCACCTTTCCTCCCTAGGACAGCTGGCTGGCCCACCCCACTCCCCTCTGCACCCCTCTCCCCTGGAGGGACCCGCAGTGGTGTTGCCCAAAGCAAATTGACACTATTTTTCCCTTGGTAACCGCAAAGGGGGAGAATCACCCGTCTCCTAATTTTAACCAGTACGTGAGGGACCAGGGTGCGATGACCGACCAGCTGAGCAGGCGGCAGATCCGTGAGTACCAGCTCTACAGCCGGACCAGCGGCAAGCACGTGCAGGTCACCGGGCGTCGTATCTCCGCCACCGCTGAGGACGGCAACAAGTTCGGTGAGACCCAGCCCTCACCTGAGGCCACCCGTAGCCCCGGCCAGCCTCACCTGGTTCATCCCCAGATCTGGTGTCGGGAGCCTCCCACGTGCCGCACCTGGGTTTGGAGGTCAGGCTGCTTGGGGGGCCCCTGCAGCCCCCTGGGCCAGCGACCCTCATGGACAGAGGTCTCCCTCTCCATCACAGCCAAGCTCATCGTGGAGACAGACACCTTTGGGAGCCGGGTGCGCATCAAGGGGGCTGAGAGTGAGAAATACATCTGCATGAACAAGAGGGGCAAGCTCATTGGGAAGGTGAGGCCCAGAAGACAGAGCAGGTGCTTGACTGAGTCTCATTGGGGTGGAGCACCAAGGACCCACCCACATCCTGCTCCCTGCATCCTGTGGGGCAGCCGGGATGCAACTCTTCCGCTCTCACCCACCACGTCACTTCTGCACTCCCATCTCAGTGAGTCCCTCTGCGTCCACAAGCTCTGTGAGGGTACTGACGGCCCACAGGGCCTGGGGCACAGACTCACCAGGTGGTTCCCCGCATCCGTGAGCAAGGATTCCAGCACCTACTTGGTGTTGCAGCCCCTGCATTGAGGGTTGAGCACTAACTGGGGTTGAAAGTAGGCATTTGTGCAAGGTCATAAGCTCCCCTGAGGTCAGTGGGCTCTGAGGGATCCAACTAGCAAGACACACACTGACTGCCTGCTAGTGTCACCAGGTGCTAGTGTAGCCATCTACGAGTGTGACCGCTGCCTAGTGTGACCTCCTACTTGCTGTCGCGCAGGGAGAATTCCATTTCCCTCAACATTGGTCAATCCTGACTTCTAATTCTGGTGCTTCTCACCCAACATTTGCTTATTTTTGTTGAGCCTCAGGCTGCCCATCTACAAAGGTGGGCACAGAGTCAGGGTCACCCACAGGGTCAGAGGGGTGCCCGTGTGGCTCTGGACATGGTCGGTGTCTATAAATGTTTGCCCCTTCTTTTCTTCAGAGACTGGTGTCCCCCTCCTCCACCCACCACACCCCCCACCAGACTGCGACCCTTGTCGTGCACAGGGCCCACTGGTGGTGCACGAGCCGCACACTTACCTAGATCTTTGTGCCACATCTCGGTAAAGTGAAGCTCAGCATCACAAACACCTTGATCGGGGTGTGCGACTTCCAAATGGCAAGTCTGTATTAAGTTCAGATCTGACTCCGAGAGAAGCTCGTTGCTTTCCCCCACCTTTGTCTCTCCAGCAAGGGCACCGTCTCCAGGCAGAAATCCTTGGGGTCCCAGCCCCTCCTCAGCCTTAAGATAGGCCCATAAAGCTGAGAAGCCAGAAAGGGTGTGTGGACCCACTTGCCTCCTCTCCTTCCTTCCCCCACAGCCCAGCGGGAAAAGCAAAGACTGTGTGTTCACGGAGATCGTGCTGGAAAACAACTACACAGCTTTCCAGAACGCCAGGCACGAGGGCTGGTTCATGGCCTTCACGCGGCAGGGCCGGCCCCGCCAGGCCTCACGCAGCCGTCAGAACCAGCGCGAGGCTCACTTCATCAAGCGCCTCTACGAGGGCCAGCTGCCCTTTCCCAACCAAGTGGAGAGGCAGAAGCAGTTCGAGTTTGTGGGCTCAGCCCCCACCCGCCGGACCAAGCGCACTCGGAGGCCGCAGCCCCTGACATAGTCAGGAACACAGGGGCGGGGCAGCTGCCCCTCACCAGCCCTCCCATCCCCTTCCCTTCCGAATCCAAAGATGGGGCTGGGGTGGAGGGAGGGGAGCCAGGACCCCCAGGAGTGTCCTGAGGACCAACAAGCATCAGCGCCCCAGGCTGCAGAGGGGCAGGACTGGCCACCCCTCCAGGCCATTTCCTGGACCCCGCGCCAGACTAGGCCCCCAAGGGTGGGCCAGGCCCCAGGAGAGGAGCCGTAGTGTCCCCTGGACCCAGACGCACTGAACGGAGGAGCAAGGTTGGCAGGTTCAAGGCCTGGCAGGCACTGTTGGGAGGTGACCCACTCAGCCTGCCCCTGGCCTCCAGCTCCTCCTAGCCAGATTGTAGGAAGGGACTTCCGTTTTTTGTTTCAGGAAAAAAAGAGGGTTGACCATTCTTCATATTCCACTCCCCAGGCCTGCACCCCACCCCCCTCACCGCTCCCAGCCCCGGAATAAAACCATTTTCCTGCAAACTGGCATTTGAAGGGGGCGAAGGGTGGAGGGATCCGACACCAACATCCACTGGCAACAAACTGGCTTCTCGCAGAGGCGCGAGGACGCGCAGCGCGGGCCTGGGCTCCTGCAGGTGCAGGGCCGCGCGGGGCGGGGCGGGGCGGGGCGGGGCGTCCTCGAGGGGCCGCACCAGGCCCGGGTGGCCCGGGTGGCCCGGGTGGCCCGGGCTGCGCGTCCGTCCGCGGGAGCCCAGGGCGCCCCTCCCTCCCTCCGAGAGCTCCGGTTTCCTGACTCTCCGGCAAGTCCCGTGCTACCTGTGGGGCGCGGAGAACCCACACCCTGGGGCCGGCCGGGCCGGGCCGGGTCGGGCGGGCGGCCAGCCGGGCAGCAGGCCTGGCGCTCCGCCGCTGAAACCGCTTGGCCGGGAGCAGGATCCCATCTTTCCGGTGAGGAGGGTCGGGGCGGGCGGAAGAGGGTGGGAGGATGAGAAAGTGTCCCCTCGTCATCCCGGGTCCGCTGCGGGGCGTTGGGGGCGGGAGGCGGGGCGTGGGGAGGCACACCTGAGGGGACCTCAGAGGCCGGCCTAGGGGAAAGGACCCAGGAGCGGCCGCGGCCCAACCTGAGCGGCTCTGGTGGGCCTTCCCAGCGCCCCGAGGTGCGCACCTCAGGGTGGGCCTCAGGGGCCCTAAAACCCACCTCTTCGCCCCTTCACTCTGGCTTCTAATCCTGTCCAGGGGGAGGCCCTGCCCTGCGGGTCGCTCCCCCAACCCCAGTCTGTTTGGGGGACACACCCTGCCTGAGTCCTGCCTTCCGTGGATGGACCCCCAGGCTCTGTCTCCCCCTTTTCTGAGCTTACAGCAGGGAAGGGGGTTATGGGAAGAGAAGAAAAAGGACGAAAGGCGTCGCTTCTCCTAAGAATGGCCTAAAAATGAGGGCAGGATGGGGAGTCGAAGGCGGCCTGGTTTAGTCCCAATGGGAGGAGCGCAAAGCCCCGTGTTTGTGGAGGGGGAGGGGGTCACACCCCTCTCCCTTGGAGGGGCTGGAGCCCCAGCAGCCACCCCCAGCCCCCGCCTTTAGACAGCAGCAGCCAAGAGGGAGGTCCCCAGGCCCCAGGCCGTTCTCCCTCCGGTTTGTCATAATTGGTTTCCACCGGGTCGCTTTTCTCACCCCCCCCACCCCCAGTCACAAAGAACCTTAATCCCAGGGAGGACTGCGGGGTGGGGGAGGGGGGGTGTTGAGCGTCATTTTCTGGGGGGGTGTAGGGAGGGTGGTCTGGAGCCGAAGCTGATAACTGGTGAGATCAATGGGATTTTAAACTCAGGGGCGAAGCCCAGCAATTACCTGAGGACAAAGGGTTGGGGCCCCCAGGTGTGGAGGACTGGACTTGGGGGGCTGGGAAGGAAGTGTGTTGGGGAGGGGCAGCTCTCACAATCCCTCTGATTTCCAAAGGAATCTGAGACATTCTTTAAAACTCTAGACTACCTCCCCCAGCCCAGCTCTCCGGCCCACCCCCACCTTCCCCAGCTTGGGTTAGAAACAGCTTCAAAGGTGGACGGGGCCCTTTGTCCCGCCTCTGCTTTCTTCTCCGCCTTTCTGGGCCGCCCCCCCCCGCCCGACCTCCCCAACACAGACAGGCCTCTGGGGGCCGGCTCCAGAAAGCCCTCACTGTTTTCTTTCTTGCTTTCTGAGGTGAGACCTGGCCGAGAGGGACACTTTGGGGAACAGCGAGGGAAGGGAGCTGGGAGCCCGTGCCGTGTCCGAGTGCCCGCGCCCCACGCCAAGCCCAAGCCCGGCGGGGCTCCCGCCTGCTGGCCGCCTTGGTCCCTGGCTCGCCCCGCGATTTAGTGCCTCTTCATGCTCTGGGGAAGTCCCTTCAGCTCATTCCTTCTGAACTGGCGACCGGAGATGCTAATAGTGCTCAGGAGGACTCTAATCAGGGGACCTCGGAGGGGTGTAAACTGTATGAATGTGCGGTAGGAAAGGGGCTTCCCCAGGGCCTCAGACAGGCCCGCAGTGGGCTCCAGCACCCTGGTTGCTCCTGGGGTGTGTGAAGTTGCTGAGCAAGGGTGCAGATGGGGGAGGGAGAATGCAGCAGGGGAAGACTTAGGGCAGGATGAACCTGTCCGTGGGGGTGGGGGTGGGGATGTGACAAGGCGAGGGCAGCAGTGTCAGCAGGCCTCACGCACATCCTGCTCCTGTTTAGGATTCCCAAGAGCACTAGCTACCTAAGAATAGCCTCCCTATCGATCCCCCTTCCCTGTCCCATCCTCCAAATAGCCAGGCAAGGCAGAGGGGAGCCAAAGCAGAAAGTCAGAGAGGGAACCCACTCTTTTTGGTCCTTTCAGGCTGGCTTCTACTTATGTCATTCCGTTCAGCCCTGTCCCTTGGAGTCCAGTGGTGGTACTTTCCAGTCGCCAAGCCAAAAAGCCTTGCCTCAGCCCTTGGTGTCCTCAGCCCTGGACACCACCGGGGACCAGCCCTTTCCGATGCTCTTTCCTCCCCACCGCCTGCCACAGGCCATCTGTCCATTCTTCACTCTCCAGTTCTTTCCCTGCCTGGCCCCCTAAGATTTCTGCCCTTCTCTTCTCACCTGCTCTTCAGGCTGTCTGTCTCCGAGCAAACCAGCATCTCAACTCTCACCCCCTTGCCCATGACCGCTTTTTCTTGCAAGCTCTGGAGTGCCGTGGCAAGGCCTCACTGGGATGTCTCAATCCCTGCAAAGCTTTCTACACGGCCTCTCTGCCTCCTCACGCCACCACCCACCCTACTCTGGGATACCAGTTTATTCAGCTCGCCTTACCTGCCACCCACCAGGGTTCTGTCTGCATCTCCGGAACACTGGGAAGCTTAGCATGGTTTTCCAGGCTCCAGCACAGGCCTGACTGAAGGCCCTTCGCCGCCCCGTCCCTACAGAGGCCCTTTCAGAGCAGGGTGCTGCCAGAACTGCCACCCACACCCTTCAGCAAGCACGCTTGTCCCTCTGTGTTCGTGAGGGTCCCCCTGCCCAGCGTGCCCTCCTCCGGAGGGCTTTTGTGTCCGGACCACAGCCATCTCGCCTGCCCCGTGGACTTTCTGCGCTCCTGGGGGGAGCAGCAGTCTCCATGGCTCTGGTCCTCTGCCGCACACCCTTATCAGATGGCGCACACCACAGCTGGTGCAGGCCGTGCTCCTTTACCCTTGCCATGGGCCTGCTAGGCAGCAAGGGCCTCGGGCGCAGAAACAGTCCATGTTCGCCCCCTGCCCCGTTCGCACCCAGCACAGTGTATCACACAGAGTAAGGACCTACTGGGGGAATAAACCACCAGAAAGCCCAGGAAGGTGTCACTGGCCCAGTGCCCTGCTGTCCTTCGAGGTGGAGGCAGGACAAGGAGCCAGAATCCGGCCTCTACCCTCCATCCTTAGGTGGGAGTGGATGGGGAGCGGTCCTAAGCAGTTAACCCCATATTTATCTGCTCTCTACAATGTACAGCACTGTTCTAGCCCTTCAGTGAATTAAAAAGATGGGCAAGACATTGCATCAGCCCCCGTCAAGTTCTCAAGACACCTGAAGTTTAATTGGGGGGATAAGCCCATAAAAAGGCAGTTGGTTCACAGGACTTTCGGAAATCTCTCTCTCACACCTACAATAGCAAGGCAGCATTTGGTTGTCCCAAAAGTGTGAAATAGGAGGCAGGAGCGAGGGGTGATGAGGACCCAGAGTGCGCAGAGCCCTGGCGATGCGCCTGGCAGCGCACGGAGCCCCGAGTGTGGGGGACAGATCATTCCCATGTCATGTGTGGGCGAGCTCAAACACAGGCCCTCCCGAGGTCACCGCTAGCGAGCCCTGGAACTCAGAGCCTGTCCTGGAAGGGGACCATCGGTGCCTCGAGGGGAGTGTTCTCCACAAGGACACGGGGCTCTTGGGTGGAAGCCAGCACAGGGTGGAGCTGCCGGCAGGGTCCATGGTTGGCGTGGTCTTTAAGAACAAGCAAGACTGCGACCAGCAGAGCAGACAGGTGAGGGGGACACTGAGAGAGCAGCTGGAGAAGGAAGGCCTCTCCAGGGGATGGTGAGAGTCGGGTGTGGCCAGAAGGTCACCCAGAGCAGCAGCAAGAGGTGGCCGGGTCACACTTCACAGATCTTGGTCTCCCTGCTTTGGCAGGAGGAGGCAGTGGGCTCTGAGAAAGGGAGTGAGCAGGTGCCATTGCGAGGCGAGGGTTGGGGAGCGAGGCTGGCCCCATGGCAGCATGCTGGGGGCCAAGGCTCTGAGGTCCAGGAGGCAGAGGGTCTGGTGATTGGAGGTGGGGGACATGGTGTCCGAACTCTGATGAGAAAAGGTCCCATCTAGGTCCTCATCCTCCCTTTCCTTCCCCCGCCCGGTTCTCCGTCAACTCTCCCTTCTCCCGAGGGGCCAGGTGTGCCAGTCAACCTCTTGGGTTAATGTTTACATGGCATAGGCTCAGGGGGGCATCCCTGGGGCTCTCCCTCCCCCACAGGTCCACGCACGAGGCGGGGCAAGGAGCACTGGAGTGAGACGAAGA